CAACTGAGTTACCTGGCCAAGACCCAAGCAGGGTTCTTGATGCAGTGGTTGATGTTGTAATCCTTCCAGAATTGCATCAGTTTCTCCTCAGTTGCAGCAGTATCCTGGGCTAAGGTCCTCCTCACATAGCAGACCTTAAAAGCTGCTATAACTCTGTTCCATTGGCTGAAACACCACTTTGATATTGGGATAAAAATGACAATAAATGGAGAATGTCAACAATAAGCAAAATCTTGAAAGGTATTGTTATTCTCAACCAGTACCTCTCCATTTTGCTGGCACTGCAATTCAGGAGAGCGTCTTGGAAGAGGAGCTGAGTCATCCACGACTTACCGCTCCTGTCTGTACACTGGCAGTGTCTGCTTATTGACATGCTTGAAGGCCCTGAGGTTCTCACTGTGCCAGATCACAGAGGGTTTCAATTTGTAGCCTAAAACACTGTCCCCCAGCAAGACTGTTATCTTGTACTTTTAAAAGCCTTGACACCTGGCACTGACTTGCCTTCTTATGGATGAAAGTCCTTTCAAGTATGTTTCCAGAATAGGGAGGTTTCATCCATGTTGTATTTGCTCTGGCAAGTACTTTTCCTCCACAGTCAGCTTATCTAGAGTTTCCAAAAATTCTTCAGCTGCCTTCACATCAGCACTCACGTACACATTATGTCATGAATAATGATTCTTGAATTGTTTAAGCCACCCAGAGCTAGCAGTACATTTAGTATCGTAGTTGGGTCCAGCTTTTTCTTTCAGTACTTCAGAAAAATACTTTTTTGCTTTGGCCGTAACCATCATGGTGCTGAAAGGGATGTACTTCTGTGTCTGGTCTTCAGTCCAGGTCATTAGAAGTTTCTCCATGTCTAATATGGGCCCTCGTTGAATACTGGTTAGTCTCATTACCTTCACTGAAGCAGATCCTTCAACTGCTTCCATTACTTTGTTCTTTTTCCCCGAGATGATGGCTACAGTGGAATGGCACACGCCTGACTCGCAAATAATAACCATCACTGATTTTCCACCTTTGTAGTCCTTAGGTTTTTGTTTCCAGGCCAATCACTCAACCTGACCTCATACTGGCAACGTTAGCAGTGGATTTTGTACACTTAGGGACCATCATGAACAAAACAACACAAGATTAAATCAAGCACAAGAGAAAATAATGCAATCAAGAGGCATGGTAAACACGAAATGTCTGAGGCTGTTGCCAGCATAACAGGGCACACTGTTTTATAGCAGTAAGTAGAAAGCGTACACTCCAAACGCCCTAGCAGGGTAGCTCAGTTGGTTAGAGCGTCATCCCAACATGCCAATGTTACAGGTTCAATCTCCAGCCAGGGCACATACAAGAAGCAACCAATGAATGCATAAGTAAGTAAAACAACACTGATGTTTCTCTCCCCCCTTCCTAAAAATCAATAAAAATAAAATAACAGTAAAAAGTATAGTAAATACATAAACAAGTAACATGGTCGTTCAGTATCAAGTGTATGCACTGTACATAAGGGTATGTGCTGTACTTTCACATGACGGCAGCACAGGTTTACACCACCATCACCGTCAACGTGAGGAATGCGTTGCACTATGACTTGGATGGCTACGACATCACTAGGAGATAGGCACTGCCAGCTCCATTATAAACTCAGGGAGCCACCATCAAAGAGTAAATATGAGGTCTCTCTGCCACAGAAGTGTTTATTAGTCAACAGAAACAACAGGCTCTTGCCGAAGAGTTTTCTCATGTGTATCTACAAACTTAAAGAGGTAAGGAGTCAAAAACACCTACCACAGGCAATTGATGCTAAAACTATTCTGGGACAAAGGCAGTTGTATATGAATTTCAAAAGGGCCTTTTGTCCTCTGAGACTCCAAGGTGGCAGGAGAAAGCTGACCACAGTGGGTGGGAGGTCACACTCTGTCAGGGTAAAAGCAAGAATGAGAGGTGACGAGGTGAGCTGAGAGGGCTGTGGGACGCAGGTGACAGGACATGGCCCTGCCTTCCTGCACCAGCTGGGGAGCAGCACCTCTAAATTCTGTCCAGCAGGCCGGCACCAAAGAACACAAACAGGGCTGCTCCCCTCATCGCTCAGACGAAAGGCTCTGACACTTGCTATCTTCCCCCGTGGGTGTTTTTCTTGAACTTAAATGTAAGCAGGTTTGTTTTTTAATTATTTTAGAGAATCTGGAAAAAAATTTTTAACGTGTTAAAAAAAAAAAAAAAATCATGATTCATGTAAGTACTGAAAATAAAACAAATTTAGCCATTTTCCAAGATGCCTTACAGAAGAAATAAAAAGAAATAAAAATGAAGAGAAATTTTTAAATCTCACATTCTTTGGGCTACTGTTCTTCCATCACCTCTCCAGCTAAGAAAAAGGATCTCCCTGAGGGTGTTTTCTAAAACTACAGAATTGTAGAACATTCTGCTCTAAGGAGAGAAGCAGACTGTTAGCAGATACTAAGCACAGTAGATCCTCAACAATACCCGAATTTAATAATTTAATAACTGTCCTAACGTTACCTCCCACATCTCCCTATCCTCTCTTTCTCTCACTCCCCTGCCCCCACCCAACAGTGCTTTCTTTAAATATAGCTAGCAACACCAAACACAGGCAATTAAAGTTAACCTGGCAACTGTTTACTCAAAAAGTAGGAATTTTCTAGATCAAAAGAGGTAGTTCTAAACTACCTCTACAAAGGAAGATTTGCAGAAAAGTACACTTTAAAGATTGTAAAAGAGTCATTTATTCTGGTAGCAAAGAAGCTATGGTTCCTCTGGAATTGCCAAGAAAAGACAAACCAAGGTCTGTGCTTGGTGCCTCTTGGGGGATCTGCACATGTACACAAGCATGTGAGTACCTGTCCTCCGAGGGTACTTTAACAAGAACTGGCCTGGGTTCCTGCGCACGTCACACACTGAAGCCCAGCAATGCTGGCTTGCACAGTCAGGGCTGGACACAAGGCAAGCATTCACCAGGGCAAGTCAGACCATCTGGTAAGCCCAAGAGATAGGACTCACCCAAAATCTTTACAAGACTTCTAATACTTCATTTGGCATATTTAAATGTCCCTATAACTATACATCTGTTTTTTAAAAAACGTCAATGGAAGGGTTCTGTTGGGTATTTATCAATTAAATAGAGTGAGAAAACCATCTCTGGCCTTTGGGTGGTATGTTAGTCCAATCCATACAATTAAACATAAGTATATATGAGTACAATGGTACATGAAGGGTCAGGGATCAGTCCACATAGGTAACATGTATTCATTCAAGAAATACCCAAACATATTGTGGTTAAACAGCAAATACAGTGGATTATAAAGTCAAGGCTGACATCACTGGAGGAATGTAAATTGGTACAACCACTTTGGAAAATAGGCATCAGCCAGTAAAGCTGGAGATACACACATGTATGACCCAGCACTGTTCATAAATGCCCCAGACCAGAAACCACCCAGATGTCCATCAGCAGTGGATGGCAGATAAATAACTTGTAGTATGTTCATACAAAAATGAACTAATTACAGTCAGGTAACAACATGGCTTAATGTTAAAAATATATAATGCTACAAGAATTTAAACAAAAAATTATGTGTCTCTGTGTAGATACACACACAGGATATTGATTTAAAAAAGGATTTAAAAGAATTCCTACTTTGAGCCCATTTGCACAAAGGTAAAAAAAACAGGCAAAATGAAACTGCGCTATTCAGAGATTTGCATTTAGGGGATAAAACTACAGAAAAGAAAGGAAGTGACTTCCACACAAATGAGGCTAGCTACTGGCGTGGTTACCTTTGGGATAAGGGAGAGGTTGTCATTGGGAAAGAGTGTTTTCTTTAAAATAATTTAGTTACGCATTTATGTTTTAATAGCCTTTTCTCTGTGTTACAATTCACAAGTTTTAAAATGGTTAAATAGCTACATTGTTGATTCCCAGGAATTCGGAACCATTACAGCTCTAATCTGGGGAAAGAACACTTCCTCTCTGAACGTCACTATAGGCCTGTCAGCTTTGTAGGGTCAGGGACCTTATATGCCTTCTACCCCAGTATTCGGCACAATACCTTTAGCATGGCAAAGTCCTCAATAAATATCTAGCATTTAAACCCATAAGCTCTTGATGGGAATTTTGTTTTGACTCACCCATCTCCTGAAATGACCGATTTAAACTGCGCCCACATTAACACTTCCCGTTCTCTCTTTGCCCCAGTGCCGCTGTCATAAATAACTAAAGCTACCACCTTCAGCGTCTGCTCTGTAAGCTTATACCCAGGTGCTGTTCCTTTAGCAACTCTGCCTTCCACTCCCCTTTTATGCCTCCTTATAAGCGAAGAAAAGATGGATACACTAGTAGTCCCAGATTTCTTTTTTTCTGAGGGTTAAGGTTCATCTGCAACTGAGAGTAACATCTAGGATCATGTTTTAACTTTCGAAGTTGGTTAAGAAGGGGTCGTTTGCCAGTTGTCCAGAAAAATACTACCATATATCAGGATTAAGAAAACTTTACAACCAGCTGTAATATGCATGCTGCCTATTCTAGACCGAAATCAAATCTCTATGAACAGGACCAGTTAATTTTATAATAATTCATTTCAATTAAAAAAAAATCACGTTGTGCAAAGACATTTATGAAAATGCTTGGGAAAGTGTAAAAGGATACACACAAACCGATAGACACACAGACAGCAGTTGCTTTTGGGCAAGAGGCTTAAAACGAGGCTTTAACCTTGTCTGTCAAGTTTTAATTTTTTTACATAAAGAACAATTAATGCATCTCAGGATATTTAGAAAAAGTATTTTTAATCCACTTTGCCTAAAAATAAAATCCCAATTACAAAGGAACCCACCAAACCGAGATACCTTCCTAAAGACCATCATTTTAAAATGCAATTTTTTATGCTAAAATTTTAAAGGATTTCCTGGAGTTACACACCTGGCCAGTTTTTATGATATAAATATACACATTTATGCCGGTCTATTGAAAGATATTATAGAAATCATACCTGAATTCAACCAATATGCAAGATTTCAGATGAGAAAGCAGCATAGACACGTTCGACACTGACGTTCAAGAGACTTGGAATGAAGGAAACTGTCTCCCCTTTTATGGGGGAAAGCCAAAAATATCAAGCAGCTACCCCTCCTCCCCCAAGCGTCAGCAGATGAGTCAGAGCTGGAGGCAGGAAGAGTGCCTGTGTGTCAAGCCGCCTGTGCAGGGCTCCTTCCTACCTCCACCCGGCAACCCTCTCCCCTCACCCAGGCCGGGGTCCCTGCCTCAGGCTGGGGTCCCTGCCGTGGGTTCTCGGGTGTCTCTAGTGAAGATAGACGGTTACTCATTCTGGGGGCGCCTCGTTCCCTGCGTTTCTAAAGGGAACTCAAGAATGGGGGTCTCCAGGAGTCCACACAAGTAACAATTACCAAATGCAGCTCCTCACTGGAGCCTCCAGACGCACACAACTTGGCGAAGGATACAGCACCTTTGTTCCCCTCATTTGAGAGGGCAGGAAACACGCAGAGCAGCTGTGGCTTGTCCAGTATCACTTCACTGTCACAGAGCTGAGTCCCTAGAGCACGGAGCTGCTGAAGGCCCGCCCCAGCCTCCGATTTTTAAAGGATCTGTACGATCTGGGGAAGGACGTTGGAACGCTGCACTGTGCTTCCGAGTGGCCTTACAGAACAGGAATCCCGCAAACTCTGGGTGAGCCCCTCGGTCCATACTGCTCTAAGGTTAAGTAAAGAATCGGGACTTGGCTCTTTTCCTCCGTGTTTACCTCCGTAAAACGGGATGGTAATTAATCTCTACCTACCCCGCTTATAAAATTACAACGAAGGGCTGCTAGTTAATACATGCTAAATGCCTTGAGGTCCTACTGGATAAAACGTGCAAGGGAGGGTTTTTGTTTTTGTTTTTTTTTAAATGAATCCCCACACAGCAGAACTGCCTTTGTAAGTCACTTTCCTTGCCTCCGGGATGCCCAGTTACCATAACACTGGCCGGTACCCTTGGCAACATCCACCTAAATAAAATATAGTTATACAATCCACTTAAGGCAGTTCCTGCGTGCAGCTCCCCTCGCTCACACAGCTCAACTTCGCTCTGGAGCAGGGGTACTTAGAAGAAATAAAGACTCTACATTAGCACCGCGCGCACCAATCCACCACCGCAGAGCAAAATACTCAAGTTGAATACTTGGCATTGCTGAAAGTCAAGTTGCTCCTCAATGCACCAGAAACCTCTGGCAGACGCACGAGGCCGCCGTCGGCTCCGGGGCTCCGGGGCTCCGAGCGGGCCCATGCCCACGGCGGGGAGACGAGGCACAGAGGCCGCGGCGGGGCCGCAGCGCGGAGGGGTCTGGGGAGCAGGCGAGGATGCTCGCGAGGGAGCCGG